GAGCGAGGGCCGGGCGGGTGGGCACCGGGCCGGGCCGGGGAGCTGGGACCGAGCCCCGCGGAGCGACCCGGGCTTGGTCGGCCGGGCTCGGGAACTCGGGAAAGGACCTAGATCCCGATCGTGCGCGCGAGGGGCTGGGAGGCTGGGCTGGAGGTCACCGCACGGCCGAGTCCCACCCGAGGGGCGCGAGCTGGGGCGCGCGGAGACCCCCGAGGAGCCCAAGGCGGGCGACCGCGACCCGGGTCCGAGCCGGGACCAGCTGTCTGCGAGGGGCGCGTCCGGGATTTGGAGCCCAGACCGGACCCGGAGCCCAGACCGGACTCCGTCTCCGCCAGGAGACTGAGGAGAGGAGAGGGGGAGGAGGACGAGGAGGGCTCCCGGCCGATGCCCGGGCGCCCACCATCCTCGCCCTCGGTGGCTATAATCGGCCCTCTCACTTAAGAGGGGTCCGGATCGAGTGCCTTCCCCCCGCACCCCAAGTTCTCAGCAGACACCTTTGGGCTCCTCTCTCCCCTCCGCCTCCCCAAGAAGCGGGACACCGCGTCCGCCTCAAAGAGAAACTTTACCCGTGATGCCTACACGGGGCTGGAAGGAGGGTGCGAGGCAGCCGAAACTCGGGGCGAGGGTGGGGTGGTGGGGCTTTGCCGGATGGGGTCCTCGGATGTCTGCAAACGTTATGATCCCTGGGGCGGGGGCGACGGCTGGCATCGCGCGCCCCTCCCCTCCCCGGCAGGCAGGGGCCAATTCCAGGATCGCCGGTTCCCTGGAAATGTGAGGCGGGGTCTGTGGCTGCCCTTTCAGCCTGGGGGTGGGGTCACTCCTCCTGCAGAAGTTGTGGCTGGGCTGCTAAGTTTTGTGCTGTGGGCGACTTGGCATCCTGCCTGGGATCCGAGTGCCGGTTCCTCCTGCCGCCTGGGCTTCTCCCGATCCCTGGATTGGGCTGGTCCCTCCTCTCTGCTTCCTTCTCCTTGAGCTTGTTTCTCTTCTGCAAGAGCATCGAGCTTGGCTGGAAGCAGAGTGCTAGGATCCCGGTGCTGCTGGGGCTTGGGAAGTATCAGACTTGGCTCTTCTTCATCTCGGCCCAAAACAAAAGGCCACAGGACCAAGACCCAGTCATGGAGTGGGGGGTGGCGGGGCAGGGAGGATGGCCACAGGCCACAGCCTGGCCTGGGCCCACTCCCTCTGCCCCCTGCCAGATATTTGACCAGGCCATAGTTAAGTGAGCAAAAACAGGCATGGTGTATTGCTATTTCATTCTGTATCTTAGAACTTTTAACTTTCCATAGTGCCCTGGAGTTTGTTGATCGGGTCATCAGCCGTGTGAGACCAGGTGCACTGTTGTTCCTTGATTTAAACAGACGAGAAGAGAGATCAAGGACACGCTGAATGCACAAGGCCATCCCCTGAAAGTGCTTGTCCAGGGTGACCACAGCAGTGGCGGCCCCTCTGCTTGCTGTTGAGTCCACTACTCTCTGTGAGCCCCTGGACAAGTCACTTAGGTTCTCTGGGCTTCCGATCCCTTATCCGTGAAAGGCAGAATGGCAGAAATAATACTCATCTCTGTGAGGTGGTCTGGTGGTTGTGTACACATTGCCAGGGATGACACTTGGTAGTGTATTTCCTCCAAACACGACAGAGTCATGGGAACCCGAGGTCCCTGCGTGTGACGTCTTCCTGGCTGTGCATTCCGCGCTGACCTCTCCTCCTCCTCCCTGACGCAGGTCTCGGTCACTCCGCGGAACTGGCGTTTGCCCTGGAGCCTAGCGATGACGTTGCTGTCCCTGGGGAGCCCGTAGTGCTGGGCTGCAAAGTGGAGGGGACCCCTCCCGTGCGAATCACCTGGAGGAAGAACGGGGTGGAGCTGCCCGAGAGCACCCACACCACCTTGCTGGCCAATGGGTCCCTGCTGATCCCTCACTTCTGGGTGGAGCGGGCAGGCAGCCTTTCCGACGAGGGCGACTATGAGTGTGTGGCCCAGAACCGCTTTGGGCTGGTGGTCAGCCGCAAGGCGCGCATCCAGGCTGCAAGTAAGTGGACGTCCCTTCTTGTCCGCCCTCCCCTTTGTAGAAGCCACGGTGCTAATCGGTTGGTCTGGGGCGCGGGAGCGGGGCAGGTTCGGGCAACCTCCTGCAGAACTAATGTCCCAGTGTGGGGTCAGCTGAGAGGAGGCCGGCAGTGCGTTTGGCGGGTGGAATTAGATCCTGGGCTCCTTTACTGATCACAGTGTGAATTGTGAAGAATGTAGCCCAACACTGGCAGTGTGGGGGTGGGGCTTCTCCCCATCTTGGGTGAGCTGGTCCTGGCTTCCGTGCGCCAATCATGCTTCCAGCATCCCGGCATCGCAGTCCCTTCTGTGTGGATCTTGCACTGAAAGGTAAACCACTGACTTCATGGATGACTTAAGATTTCTCTTTTTGGTGGTGCTGGGGTTGGGACTCAGGGGATCTGAAGATGCTTTTAGGGTCATTTTGGCCACATGCAATTTTTAATTACATTGGCTTTCAGAGCTTATGAGTAAGGCTTCACTCTACTAGTAATGGAGTTCTGAAGCTTGTCAACAAGTTTGCTTTAAAAATGTATAGTAGGAGCAAGCTCTGGTGACACACACCTATAATCCCAGCACTCTGGAAGGCTGAGGCAGGAAGAACACAAGTTCAAAGCTAGCCAGGGCAACTTAATGACTGAGTGAAACCCTGTCTCAAAGTGAAAAACAAAAACAAAAACCTGGACGTGGTGGTGCATGCCTGTGACCCCACCACTCAGGAGGCTGAGGCAGGAGGATCACCATGAGTTCAAGGCCAAATTGAGCTACAAAGTGAATTCAAGGCCAACCTGAACTGCATAGGACAAACCTGTCTCCAAAAAAAAAAGTGGAAAAAAAAAAAAGAGCTAGGGTTGTAGCTCAGTGCAAAGGCCCTGAGTTCAATCCCTGCAAAAACAAATAGAGGATACAAATGATTTAAAATAAAAAACAAGTAATAAATATATAGTAGAGATCCAGGGTATAGTTCAGTGGCAGAACATTTGTCTAGTATAGACAAGGCCCCGGGTTCAGACCCCAGCACTGCAAAAAATAAAAAGACATGATAAGAGAATTTTAGAGTTGTGTCAGTGATGTGCGTCCCTCTTCACACCGATGTGCTTATTGGGCCGGGAGAGAAAAGGCCAGGCAACGGCTTCAGCTCTAAAATTGTGCTTTGCTGGCCCAGACGGACCACCAGTTGTGATAAAAACAGTAGGTGTGCTTTAATTCTCCGTCCTGAGAGTTCTGTTATCCTGTGGTTGTTGAGGCTGTGCACAGCCGGGGTGTGCCGCCTACACCCAGATTCTCACTGCACCTCGGGGAGCTGATGGAGCACAGGGTGGTGGCTGGAAGCACGGCCCTTAGATAGGTAATAACCCTCGCTAACGGTTATTAAATACTTGCTGCATGCTGGGCACCCTACGTGCTCCATGGGAACTATCCCACTGACTCATCACAAGGACCCTAGGAGGTGGGCCCTCATCCTCCCCATTTGATGGACGAGAAAACTGAGCTTTTGGGGGTTCAGGTCTCCGTTCTGTCGAGAGGCGGCCAGGACTGCAGTGCAGGCCGCCTGAGCCCTCTGGCCCCTTCACTGACTCCTGCGGCTGGCTGCCTCTTTCCCAGCGCGGCGCTGACAAGTTTCTTCCTGGCTCTGAGGGCATTCGCACAGTTGCTCTGAACGGCTGGTGAGTGATGAATTGTTCAAGGCAGGAGCCCTCTCGCGGGGTGTAAGATGCCCCTTTGTTCTAAGGAAGGCCGATCCAGGCCCCCATCTGGAGCTCGCTGGGAGGCAGCCCTGGACTTGGAGACCAAATCACTTCTGGCTCAGCCGCCCCTGTCCCCGACCCTGCCAGCAGTGCAGAGGGAAGGCTGGTGTGCCTCAGAGCAGATGGCTGGGTGTGCATAAGCGACTGAGGGACCCAGGGCGGGGACCAAGGCTGGGGGAAATGGGACACTTATTTATGTATTTATTTACTTCTGCGGTGCTGGGGATCGAATCCAGGGCCGTGCACATGCGCACACCCATGCCAAGTGCTCTACCTCTGCGCTGTATCCTCAGCCTGTCAACCCACTTTTCCAAATGGTGGTGCCTTCAAGAGGTCTGGTTCCCTGCACCCCTGACAGTGTAAGGAATTCAGCTGGGCGTAGGGCTGGCCTGGCTAATCCTTTGGGGCCCCGGAGACAGCAGAAGGGTTCGCCTCCTGGCACTGCCTGCGTGACCTGGCCTGCTCTCTCCCCCAGCTAGGCTGAGGCCCCAAGGGGGACAGCATCGATGCCAAGCAACCAAGTGGCTGGATCCCTTTTCTCGCTTCACAGGCTGATGTCCCTAGAAAGCTTCAAAGCTGATTAGCCCTGCCTGGGTCCCCTCCTCGGGTAACCACTCCCTGCCCATTTGCCCGCTGGCACTGCAGATGTTGTGTGACATGGGCGCGTGGCTTTCTGAAAAGGTGTGAGGAGTCTCTGGAGACCCGGCTTCTCCCACCTGCTCCGCAGGGGCTGATGGCCAGGGAGGGCGCACTCAGCACCACCCCGACACACGCTCCTCTCCTCCCATGGGGTCCGCCCCGGGAGCCTCCTGGGCACCCAGGGAGGTGTGTGTGGGGGCACCCTCTCCTCTGCGGTGGGCTCGGAGCTGTCCGTGCAAGGTGAGGGGATGTTGTAGTTCAGTGGCAGAGCATCATTGGGTTGAACCCTCTGTACCACAAATTTTAGAAAGCACTTTCTCGGACAAAGCCTTTAAGTGTAATCTTGGCTGCCTGAGGAGGTTAATCTCCAACAAAGCAAACCGCCTGATGCTGCTCCCTGCCCACTTTCGACCTCGATGGGATTCATTTAGGGAGGACTCCAGGGAAATCTCCCAGGGAGCGGAATCGTTGGAGCCAATTGCTCCTTGTTCTGTTTTAACCTCTTCTGGGGGGCTGGGAGCCTTGGGGTGGCCAAGTGGGGAGGCGTGCACTGGTTCCCACTTGCTGATGTCCGTGTGCCTGGAAGACTCCCAAGAGGAGTGGCCCAGCTGGGGGGGCCCCACTCCAGGTCCCCTTTCACCTCAGTCCCTGCTCTTCCCTTCCTGGTCTCAGGCCCCTGGACCAGCCGGGGTAAAGAGATCTGGGACCCAGGACCAGGTTTCACAGACTGAACTGAGCCTGCATCACCTGGGGGTCTTGATCTGATTTCAGATGCATGGGTCTAGGCCCAGGCCTGGAGTTTTGTCTCTCTTAAGAGCCCAGCCACAGTGCCCACACTCTGGGTGACCACAGGCTACAGGAGCACCCACTCCCACCCCGCAGTCTCTGCTTCAGGGCTGGCTGGGCAGCGTAGTGGATTCCACAGAGCAAAGGCCACAGGGCCACAGTGCGGCGGGTTCAAACACCAGCTCCGCCACTCTCTGATCACGTCCCCTTAGGACTGTGAGGTGCTTTGAGTTCTTGGGCCTCTGTACTCTCATCTGCAGGGCCTGTGGGAGGACCAGTGAAGTACTGGATGGAAAGAACCTGCCCCAGGCTTGGCGCGTGGGGAAGAGCTTTGTAAGTCTCGTCATTAGTGGTCAGGACCCCCCGCTAATTTAGGATGAGGTCCAGCTTGTCTCCATCCCCACTGGATTCCCAGCAAGTTGGACCGGGTAGGCTCATTTGAGCCTGGGCTGAAGCAGCCATAGACCTGGGCTTGGTGGGTTTGGGCCTTGGCCCCACCCACTAGTTATAGAACTTGGGGAGATTGCTTCACCTCTCTGAGACTCAGTTTCCATTTATTTATGTATTATTTATTTATTGAAGATTGAAATGAGGGAGCACTGAGCTACTCCACTTTTATTTATTGATTGATTAATTGACAAAAGAGTTTTCACTGCAGTTCGGATTGGCCCTGAACTCACTTTGTAGACCAGGATGGCCTCAAACTCACAGCGATCCTCCTGCTTCAGCCTCCCAAGTGCTGGAATTACAAGTGTGCACCACCATGCCCGGGAATCGGTCTTAGGACCTTGCAGTTGCCAGGCAGGTGCTGTGCTGCTGAGCTATATACCTGGCCCTCCACCTTTATTTTATTGTTTATTTATTTATTTTTTTTGTCTTTTTTTTTTTTTTTTCTTTTTGAGACAGGGTCTCACTATGCAGTTCAGGCTGGCCTAGAGTTCACTTTGTAGCCCAGGCTGGTCTTGAACACGCAACGATCCTCCTGCCTCAGCCTCCTGAGTGCTGGGATTACAGGCGTGCGCCACCATGCCTGGCTCTATTTTTTTGTCTTTTTGAGACAGGGTCTTACTATGCAGTTTAGGCTGGCCTTGAGCTCACACTGTAGCCCAGGCTGGCCTTGAACTCACAACAGTCCTCCTGCCTCAGCCTCCCGAGTGCAGGGATTACAGGCATGCACCACAATGCCTCACATCCCCAGTTTCACACCCCCACTTTTATTTTTGAGAAAGGTCCCGCTAAATTGCCAGACTGGCCTTGAAGTACTGATTCTCCTGCTTTAGCCGTCTGAATAGCTAGAATTATACACATGTGCCGTGAGCTGTGTTTCTTCATCTTTTTTTTTTTTTTTTTTTTTGGTTTTGTTTTTTTCTCCGGTTCCAGGAACCGAACTCACGACCTTGCGCTTGCCAGGCAGGCGCTTTGCCGCTGAGCTAAATCCCCAGCCCCTGTTTCTTCATCTTTATTTAGTTTTTTAAGGCTGGACCTCACTTTATAGTTCAGGCTGGCCTGAAACTCACTGTGTATCCCAGGCTGGCCTTGAACTCGTGGCAATCCTCCTGTGTTAGCCTCCGAAGGTTGGGATGACATAATAACTGTTATTATTCTGAAGAGGGAGCTGCTTTGTGGTGTGAGCCCAGGAAGGGCCTTGGTGGTCAGACTCTGGGAAGAGGCAGTGGGGAGCGGAGAGGGGGACAGGCCGACAGCGCTCGCTCTGCTCAGATCACCATTTTCTCCAGGCCTTCAGCTCCTTCTGTGGAGCCCGGAACATGGCCAGCAGATCAAGGGCAGACAGGAAAGCAGCTACTCCTCT